CTCAAAGTGCACAAGTGTCCAACTTGAAGCGTTGGATGCGATTTTGACGCTGAAATCACGCTGGGTGTGAACGCAGCATAAGTCCAAGTTAGAAGAGCGTTTAGGTGATACATATGTTAAAGGAAAAATACAAATAACACTAAAGCTCCTCTATTTTTGAAAACAGGAACAGATCTTTAGGCTGTCATTCAATTTAGGAACCAAATTAAGAAATAACACCTGAAAATGACTTAATGACTGCAGTGTGGCTGAGTATAATTGGGTTGCTCTTACCAATCTTTCTGGGTGACATTTTTGTTGTAGATGTGTCCACTGTTGTTTCTGTATGGCGGGCAGATGCACTTGCAGCGAACATCCTCAAAGTTCTGTAATGGTCAAGAAAATAAGGTCAGATGGCTGAGAAATTAACTCAAAAACTTTGGATTATCTTGTTACAGGTAGAAATGTATATTAAGAGATAAATAAGCTCACAAAGCAGAAATATAACTGAGGGACAGTCACCAAATGAAAGGTGAAAATCATGGGCCTGTATTGTATGACTTGACACAAGTGTCCTTAGTTAATACAAAGAAATAGTTCTCTTTAAAAYTTTCCATTATCATAGTAATATTTATCAACATGCTCCATGTTACTGCTATATCTAAATGATTGTTTTTCTTACCTTGTTGGCCTGAACACAAACTGCAGCATCCAGCAGCARCACGACCAACACTGCAGCTCCAACAAACATCCAGGAACTTTCTCTGTCGTAAGACATTTTATCAAGAGAGAAGCACGATGCGCAACTGGAGCACAATTAGCATCGACCTTCTGTCAAAACAAAACAAGACGAGTCGGGTTAGCAAGCACCAGTTAGCTTCCAAGTAAAGAAATCAACGAAAAAGATGTTGTCTTTTCCCCCTTGTTAACAAAAGGCTAAAAATATATTCAGCCTTCTCTTTATGTACCGTTTAACTTACGCTAAATATCCGAGGAACTAATATCTGCTGAGCATTTGAGGAGCAGATAAACGCTTTTCAGCTGCGGAAGGAGAAGTCGATTTTGTTCTTCCTGGTTTKGGAGTGACGTCACCAATCCTCCACAAAACATGGAGCACCGGCGCCCTCTACTGGATTAATGCAAAAAAGACACGTTTGAAAACTCAATCTAATCAACCTGAAAATTATCCTAATTACAAGATACCAAAAGGGTTATTGAGTTGGTTGTTTACGTTTTTCCATTTCTATAGTTATATTTTATCAATATAAAAAAATCACTGTAACCTAAATCCTGAAATATCGTTTAATTAAACAGTTCATTTGAAATAAATACTTGTTTTTTTTGCCGGTTTACAGTTAGAAAAATAAACTAGTTTTATGAGAAAATCGAATAATCTGATAATTTCTTCTAACCAATGTTATAATCCATAAGTCACATCTGTAATTTTTTTACAGGGAAAAAAAATACAAAATTTCTATTTAGAATGATTTTTATCAACTTGTTAGTTAACTGAAAAGGGACACTGCTGTGTTCCAAGTTAAAAAAAAACAGCTTCAAATGTGCCTAAAGCAAGCTTTATTTTTATGACCCTATATTTTGACATGGCAAATGGATGATTACTTTAAACAAATTCACTTTAAATCTTCAAATAAAACTAATCATTGAACAGTGACTTGGAGATTTAGAGACAAATGCTTGTCTACCTTTCACRTTTAGTTTATGACTTGAATTAGGTTATCTTAAAAGTTTTTCTGTAATTATTATTTAAAAGAGACAATTACACAACTGAAGATGATGTGAAAATACTGGGCACACTTCAGAGCTGGTAACACAAATAGATGCTAAACACAAGCTAAAATATCACAATCCTGAGAATTTTCTGAGGCTAAAATAACAATAATTCTATCACAATACATAATCTTATTAATGTAGATTGAAAAACACTAATACCTGTACCAATAACAATGATCATGCCCTATTTAAAAGGCAAATTATCAGAATATTAACTCAAACATACAGAAACATTGTTCATTTTTCCAATCCTGCTTCTCCTGTAGGAATTTGTAAAGTAAGCCTCAGATTTTGATCCAATCAATACCTCTATTTCCTGGTAATCCTGCTTTCACATCTCTGTGTGCTGTGTGTGTAGTAAGATACGCATAACTTTAATAAGCCGTAAAAATCAATAACTGAGAAATTCAGCCTGAACYGCTGCAGCCTGTGGTCACACAGATCAATGGAGTCTGTGGTTATTTCTCTAATGAGCTATGATATCAGTGTGAACAACACCACACCGTCRTTTGTGTGACTGCAATCGTCCATGTGACTCTCCAGTCAACAACCGAAACAAGCTGAAGAYGTCTGACAAGACTCCTTTAATCCTGCACGTATTATGTTGATGAGTGTGGTTCAGATTGTTAAGATTGTTAAAAGAATCACCTTTGTCTGTATGATTGATTTCAAATTGTAGGCATGTGCTTTAAACTGTGAGGAGATATTTGCCTGTTCTTATTTTGGTTCAACTGAAGTCGTCTGAAAGTGAATGCTTCATTTGTAGAATAAGATTTTAATTGAACATAAATTGTTTCTGTAATAAACTGTTAAATACACAGTTATTGTTTGGTAGATTCTTTAAAAAATGTCTCATAAAAATCTCATCAGGTAATGATTTATTTTTAAATCCACTTCCATAAATTTCCTTCTCTCACCTCTGTCACCAAAAGCCACTTAGTCCTCTGTGCTCTTTGATGCGAGACTGCCCTTTACACCCTCAGGCCAATTACAGCATAAATGACACTGACCAGAACCCAGTGCCGGGTCTCATTATCGGTTCAGAGTTCTCCAGGGAAAAGAATAAAGGTGATC